CCTGCCCGGCCGCCTGTGGCAGCCCAGGCAAGTCCCGTCACCGAAGGAGGTGGCCAGTGAGCAACTGCCCTGCGCGGGGCTGGCAGTGGGGCACAGGACGGTGTCACAGGCTGGTGGCAGAAGGAACCCTGTGGGACTTCACAGTAAAACATCCACCTTACTGTCCAGGCTGACGGCTGCCATGTGCTCAGGGGAAACCCCGGCCTTTTGGGGAAGGGACGAGCTGGGGCCTCAGAGGCCGGACTGTGCTGGCAGGGGGCTGTGCTGGCACCTCTGGGTGCAGGGGAGGTGGCTGTGGGGCTGGGGCGTGCGGCAGCGCCTGGGCCGGGGTAAGCAGGGCAGGGGCAGGTAACGCCTCCCAGCTTGGAGGCCGAGCGCGTGTGGGGCTCCTGCCGGCAGCTTTGGCCCTGCAGCCCTCGTGGGGTGGCCCAGGGGGACATGTGGGAAGACTGCAGGGGACCTGGGTGGGTGCTGGGAGCCGGGGCAGGCTGAGTGGCCGCCCTCCGGCGCTCGCTTGGGCTCAGAGAACAGTGGGGTCCGCATGGAGAACCCGTCCCGTGCCTGCACCAACAACCCGTGCCTGTGTCCGTACCGATAACCCGCCCTGTGCCGACAGCCCAGCGCCCAGCTGGGGCGGGTGGCGCACTGCATCACCCGGCGGCACAAGTGCCAAGTCACGGGGTATTTGTGGGTGCCTGGGCCTGGCACACGCCGCGGCACAACCCTCCCTGGGTCCGTCGGTGCCGTGCCACGGGGGCAACCAGCTGGCCAGGGCCAGGGGCTGGGACACCGCGCCGTGACAGCGATCGGCTCCCAGGGCTGGGGACACTGCGTCACGATGGCAAGTGGTTCCTGGGGCTGGATGCGATGAGGCGGCAGCGGCCCTTGCTCCGTGGCCCAGCTGGGCTCTTCCCGGGGCAGCGCGGTGGGGCAGGCAGGGGGTGCGGAGGAGCGCGAGCACACCCTGCTGTGGCTGCTGAGTCGCCACCCCCAACAAACGCACCAAACCCACTTGCCCGCTCTGAGCCCGGCAGGTCCGGACAGAGACTGGGAGCCCTCCTGCACCGAAACACTTTAATGGGCCGGGTCAGCCTGCGGCTGGGGAGCCAGAGCCATCAGCTGCCTCTGCCCGGCGCTGGGCACCATGGTGGTTTTCAGCTGGCCAGCCTGGGGGGGGCCACGTGGCCTCACGTGGGGAAGGTGTTGGCCAGCTCCTCTCCTCCTGGCAAGCCAGACACGGGGCTGGCGCTGGGTTGATGCCTGGCAGCTCCTGGCTCCATCCTCGCTGCTTCTGGGCAGTGCAAAGGGGGCCAGAAAGTTTACTGTCCCCGAAGGCTTCTGAAACAGCCCAAAGCTGTTCTCCAGGCCGGCGGGGGCGATCACAGGAGGGAGAGTTGCTCTCTGCTAACAGCAACCGCCCACGGAGAAGGGCTCTGCTGGGGAGCCAGCCCCGCGTGGAGCCAAGCCCCGGGACGTGTTGGCGGCCCTGGCCCTGGTCCTGCTGCTCCCCCAGCGGCTCGAGGCAGGGAGCACCAGCAGCCCTGTGCCACAGCATCCCCCTGGAGCTGCTGGACAATGTGCCCCGGTGGATCCTTGGCCACTGCAACCCGGAGGAGATGGCCTTCCCCAGCACCCCACGGCCCCGCTGCTTCCAGCACCAGGCTGCGATGGCTCAGAGAGGGCTGGATCCAGTCCCCAGCTGCAAGCAGAGCCCTGTCCTGTCCCGCTCCTTCCTGGGGAGTGCAACACAAGAGGAGATGTACGGTCCCTGAGACCCCGCGGGTCTGCTGCCAGGGGCAGGCAGCACTGCTCCACGCTGGGAATGGAGAGGAGGCTCTCAATGTCCCCATCGCCCTCCTGGTCCCTGTCCTGGTCCTGTCCCCAGCCCCCTCCCTATCCTTGTGCTGGTTCTGTGGCAGCCGGTGCCATCCCTGGGCTGCAGCAGTGCCAGGGATCCAGCACCCGCTGGGTTCCAGGGCAGCCCAGGCGTCCCCCCAGTGTGCTCAGCCACGTGTGCCCAGCCACCGGCCGAGCTGGCCGTGCTGCCGCCTGTGCCGGCGCAGCGAGGGGAAATGCCTCTGGGAAAGGCTGGCTCACCCCATCCTCTCCTGTGTCTCCCGCTCCCCGGCAAGCACTGCTCTGCCACAGCTCGGGTGGCCCTGGCAGCGCCGCGCTGTCCTGCTCCCACCCCAGCACGGAGCAGAGGAGCGTCCGTGCACCCAGCCGAGCTCTGACCACCCTGTCAGCCCCCTCTCCCCTTCCTGCGGGCCTTACCCGGGATTCAGGCGCGTCCCTCCCTCTGCTCGTAAACGGAGTGAAGCTTCTGAATGAGAAATATTTTATCTTCCCCTTCCTGCAAGAGCAGAGATAGCGACAACAGTGATCAGTGTGGGATGGGCTCCTGCACATCCGAGGCGGCAGCGCTGTTGGGGTCAGAGTCCAAATCTGGCAGTCCCAGGGCTGGACCAGGGCATGGAGCAGCCGGGAGTGCCGGGTCCAGCCAGGGGCAGCACGCGGAGCTCACGCACGTTGGAAATCTGCTCCTTCAGCAGGCAGATGATCCTCCGCTGGCCTCTCACCACCTGGATGTTGAAGTAGATCAAGGCTCTGCAATGACAAGCAGGATGGGACGGTGGCAGCTGGGCCAAGGAGCCGGGGTCACCGCGTTCCTTGCACCGTGCCAGGGCGCAGGGCTCTGGAGCAAAACCCCAGCTCCCAGACCCTGCTCAGGGCTGTGGCAGGGGGACCCCCAAAGCATGGGCCCAGGGTTCAGCCTCACGCTTGGGTCCCTACTCACATTAGGACCCCGGATAGGAAGAACAGGAGGAAGGTGTTCTCCACCAGGTGCTGGTGGACCCAGGCGAACCAGGTAATGTTCGGGTTGGACTTCTCCAGCAATTGCATCCAGGTCTTCCTTGACTTGGAGATGGTTTCCAGCCCCTGGAAGGGACCGCAGGTTTCTGACGGCCGCACCCTGAGCAGGCAGAGCAATGGGGTCGGTCAGAGCGATGGGCAGCCCGGCCGGCCGCTACCCCCAACCCAGGGCACTGCCCGGCCTCCAGGGACCGAGCCTCGCCTGCCCCAGCCATCCCTGGGGGCTGGACGAGGGGGTCCTCATCCCCTCGTCCTGCATCAGGAACAGCTGGGAAAGGCGGGCACAGGCCAACCGCTGCTCCGCTCTGTGCAATGACCACCGGCCAGACAGCACCCCCCTGCCCGCGGCAGCATTGCACAGCCCTGCACTGGGGATGACGTGTTCCACAGGCTGTCGGGGCCGGGGGGGGCATGGTCTCCCCAAACCCCTCTCCTCCACCAGGCACCTGGCGGTTCTGCGCCCTGGCCGTGGTCCGGCGGGTACTCACGACCAGATGGTGTAGGAGAGGAAGATGGCTGTGCCCAGGAAGGACGGGAAGCAGAGGAGGGTGATGAAGACGGTGCTCATGTGTGATGCTTGCCAGGGCTTGCTGGGGGACTGGCAGTTCTGCATCAGGCTGGTCTGCAGACAGGGAGCAGAGTCCTGCATGCTGCCACCTCCGTGGTCCCAGGACTGCGAGCAGGACAGCTGCCCCCACCCCGCTGTCCCATCCCTCCCATCTGCCAGGAGCTGGGCAAGCTCAGGGACCCCCTGTCCCCAGCAGCACCTCCTCCCTCCCAGGAGGACGGCACTGCTCGCTGCACGGTGCAGCACCTCTGCTGCGTGCTCCGGTGGCAGGGCGCAGCACCGCTGCAGGGCTGCCCATGGTGGGCACGCAGGGGGAGCTGTGGGGTGGGGGCAGCTCGCACCTTTTTGATATAGAACAGCAGCAGCAGCTTCAGTATCTGCACGGCCGGCAGGAGTGGTGCGAAGAGGACACCCAGCCTGGGAGAGAGGGGGGAAGACAAGCTCGTCCCAGGTCTGAGCCCCACGGGAGCCATGGGTGGGCAGAGCTCGGGGCAGCGGCAGGGCACCATTGCCGGCCCCCACCAGGCTTTCATAAAGCAAAGAGCAAGCACACGATGCCCCGTGCCAGGTTTGCTGCGCAGCCTGTGCCGGGGCTGGGACCTCACCGACCCCCGGGGCGGCTGCAGCCTTTGTGGCTCCCAGGCACGATGCAAGCGGGAACGCAGCGGCACACGTGTGGATCCCCTCCTCGGGCAGTGGGCCGCGAGGCTGGGGGCTGCAGAAAGGTGGGGGTGGCAAAGCAAGGGCCTGAGCAGCCCAGCAGACAGGCTGGGGGGGAGCAGGTCCCCTGGAGCAGCAAGCGCCATTATGGTCCGGACAAACAAGAGGGGCTGCGTGTGCACCGGAGCCTGCTCCTTCCCCAGAGCTCGGGGGGGACCAGCTGGGTGGGGAATGCTAGACCGGAGCTGGGATGCTCTGCTGCCGACTCCCCGTGGCTCTCACCCCATTGCCAAAGCCAGAGCTGCCGGGTGGGCTGTGGCTGTAAGTGGCTGGTGCTGGGCGCTGACTGCTGGGCCGCCCGTCTCCCTTGTCCCACCCGTGCGGGGCTGGGGAGTGGGGGTCTCACACGGCCCCGCTCGTTGACACGTGGGGCTCCCCATGCCCGGTCCCTGCCAGCCGCGGGGCTCGCAGGGCACCACGAGGCATTCGCCAGCAGAGCCGTGCCAGGCAAGACGGCATCTCACCAGGTCAGCGTCTGCCCGTAGATCAGCTCCAGCACGTTTCGGGCGATGTCAAACTCGGGCTTCTGCTTCTTCTTCAGCCTCTTCTCCAAGATCAGCCTGGGAAGGAGCAGGGCTCTGCTCCCACACTGCCGCTGCGGGGGATGCTCGGCAGCCCATCTTCCCCCTCCGACAGCAGCGGAGCCTGGGCGCGCCGGGGCAACGCCGCCTGGGTAGCAGAGAGCCGGGGCTGTGCTGGGGGGACCCCTCCCAGGACACGTTACCTCCAGACCAGCTCCCCGAAGAGCGTGTCCAGCAGGGTGAATATTAAATCCATCACCACGAAGCGATACAGGTCCTGCCCCACGCAGGTCTCCCAGCACTGGGGAGACAAACAAAGGTGGCATCAAGTGTGCAGTGAGACCTCTCCTCTCCCGTGGCTATTCTGTGGCCCCCGTGGGGTGTGAGGACCTTTTCCTCCCCTGCACCCTTTCCCCAGCCACCCTGTGTTTCAGGTGCCCTTGTCTCCCCAGCAAAGGAGCGAATGGTGCCCGTGGTGCCAGTCCCCTGCCCCTGCTGGTGCTGGGACTGCAGCCTTGGCTTTGCTCCACGCTCCCTGAGCAAGGGACAGCCCGGATGGCACGGTGCAGTCAGCCCGCACGGGCGCCGCATGCCCTCGCACAGATCCTGCGCGGAGCCCAGCTCTGCATGGCCCCGGGGTGGCAGCGCTGACCTCTGTCGAGCAGATGGCTCTCCGGCTCAGCCACTGGTAGCAGAGCAGCCCGAGGACCACCATCTTCAGAATGAGGTTCCTGGGGAGCAGGAGCGGGACCGGGCACCTTGAACCCTGGGAACGGAGGGGGCCAAGCCCCACGGACAGGGTGCCCTGCCCCAAAGCCTCCCCCCACACTGCAGGGGGGGTGCAGGATGCTCCCCCACCCCGGCCAGCCTACCTGCAGATGGCCACGTAGACCTCTGCCACGGGGGAATCATGCTTCTCCCACATTGCCAGCAAGTTGTACAGGCGGGGCATCAGCACGTTGAGGAGGGACACCACGAGGGGCAGGACCAGCAGCATGGCTTCCTGCTGCCACTTGCCGCTGCCCTGGGCTCGGTGGTCCTGCTGGACCGGGGGAGTGGGTACCAGGGTAAGCGTGCGGCTGCCGGCAGCCCGGCGCCCTCGGGGAGGGCAGCAAACGCTGGTGCCATGAGGGGAGCTGCAAGAGGGCTGCCCCTGCCTCCCAGGGCTGCTCTGGCCTCCCACCTCGGTGCCCCAGCCCGGCCCCCCAACAGCAGGGCAGGAGATCCCATGGTGAGGGGCGGCACTCACCACGTGCATGTGCTCCGACAAGTAGTACACAGCCAGCATGCAGACCAGCACCGTGCTCAGCGAGAGGGCCCAGGCCAGCAGAAGCACAGCAGTGTGCCCCAGGCGCTGGCCGAGGCTCAGGGAGCGGGAGCGGGACCGCTGCTCCGCAAGCAGCTCCTGGAAGAGAGTGGCGCTGGTGCTGCTGAACATGCTCCGGGTCCAGGTCCGGAGTGAGGGTTTGTCCTGCTGCACTGAGGTGGGACCCAGGGGGCTGATGGACGAAGCGCTGGTGCAGGGCCAGGGGGTATTTGCAGCTGCAGGGCCCCCCCGTGCAGCGGTGGGAGAGGGGTGCTGAGCCCTGACTCCTGTGAACGCCTTCGCCTGCCCACCGCAGGGCGCGGGGCGTGCAGGAGCCGACCCCAGCCCCGCTCCTCACCTTCAGCTGGGTGCGGATGTTCTCACACTGCAGCTTCACCGAGCGCCTCTGGATCACCTTGAAGTCCCAAGCACAGAAGACTTTGACGGCCAGGTCCCTCGCCGGGCTGCCCACGCGGTAGCTCTCCCCGAAGGAGTGGGACATGCTGCAGCGAGGGGCAGGGCGTCAGGGCCGGGTGGCGACGGGAAGGCTGGCGCTGCTGGAGGCGCTGCCGACCCACCTGTACACCAGCAGGATGCAGGTGATGAGGAAGGAGACCCCAACGCTGAACACGTAGGCCAGCGGCATGTTGTATGGGAGCAGGGGGGCTGCGAGGGGGTACACGCTGCCGTTGGGGCCGGAGGTGCAGGGGTCGTTGAGGGTGACGTTGCTGTAGTAGCCGTAGTACAGCAGCGAGTGAGTGAAGTAGCCCTGTGGGAAAGTGCACGATGGGGCCCACGGCGATCTCGCTGGTGCCTGTGGCTCCTCGCCCAGCCTGGCCCAACTGTGCCCTGGGCAGGGCAGCACCGGGCACCCACAGCACTCAGCTGTGCGAGGACAGGGACCGGGGCATTGCCGTGGCAGGGGATGCAGAGCTGGACCCCGGGCTTGGAGCAGCTCCTGGCCCAGGGATGGATGGGCTGGCGCTGATGTGCTGGCAGTGCTTACCGCACCAGTGAGGAGCTCGAGGCCGGTGAAGGGCTGGGGGCTGGCTCGGGGAGGGGGATACGCAGCCTGCAGGGCTACCACAAAGATGAGGAGGATGAGGAATAAGATGATGTTGAACATGAGGAGCGTCTTGAGAAAGAGGAAGTAGGAGAGGACGCTGGAGCCAAAGCGGCCGCTGATCTGCTTCAGGGCGTAGTGCCAGGGCTGCGCCGCGGGGAGCGGGGAGAGGAGCCTGTACCAGAAGTCCCGGCAGCCCTGGAGAGAGGGAGCCTGGGGAGAGCACCGGGGCCGGAGCCTGTACCCGAGCCCCCGACGGCTGCTGTGCAGACCCGCGCTCCAGACTTACGAGGACAACATAGTCTTTGGACCACCCGCAGGGAGCGGAGGGGGTCCAGTCCTGCGTGTGCTGCCTCGGGGAGCCCCTGGGCACACTCAGCTCCTGCCTGCCCAGCAGAGAGGGATGCCAGAGGGTGGCACGGGCGCTGGGACGGCTCCGGCTGTGAGAGCCCTGCCCGGCCAGGGCCAGCGGGAGAGCACCTACCGGAGGGCGCGTTTTTCTGCCAGGCTGAGGGGCATGTTGCGCAGCATGTGGCTGCACTGGCTGGGCGAGAGGCTCAGCAGCTCCTTCACCAGCAGGCTCCGCTTCTCTGGAGGTACAAGAGTTCAGCA